AGTTAAAAAAAAATTAAACAACAACCAAAGAAACCAAAAAACCAACAACTCCACAATTAACAGCCTAAATTAGTATAATGTAAGACAAAACGGGCAGCTTCAACTCTTTTCCCCCATGATGTTCCTTCAAGCTCTGGGTCGGTGCACTCTGGGGGGAGGAAAAACCCTTCCCTCGTCCTATCGCTCGCTCATCTGTTATTTCTGAGGAAACAAGGACTCCGTGTATATGGACAGATCCCCACAGGTGGGAAAATGTACAGAGAGAAGCCGAAAAGACTCAAGGAAACACAGTGTGGGGTGTGTGTGTGTGTAAAAGAAGCATCCCTCACTCCCTCAGTGTGATCTAGCTGGAAGTGGGAATACCAAGTTCCCAGAGCCGCAGTCCGGTGAGCCCCCGCTCAGCGGCGACCCCACTGCGCGGTCTCGTCTTCCCTGCGTGGGGTCAGATCTGACCGCGGCACTGGGGACCAACTTTTCCCTCCAAGTGACTGCATTAAGATAGGAACTAAGAAACAGCGATAACATTATGATTAATTCTTTTGGTTAAGAAAGCACCACTGGTCAAACTAGTATTTCAGCAAGGTCACTAAATTATCTCTGCTTAGCTTCATAAGGTGATCTGGTCAGATTTAAAAAAAAAATTTTCGAGAGTATTTTCTCAGTAAGCACAGAAAAATCATCTCTCTCTTAATAAAATCATATATTGTGAACTAAGGAAATGAGAGAACTATAAGCAAATATTTGGTTGGCTCACTTAAGGTGGAAGTAGGCAAATCTAAATAAGGTAGCAGTAAGCCATACTTTAAAAAAAAAATCCCCAAACAAAGAAAACATTAGAGAGAGAGAGAGAAAAAAAACAAAAAACAAAAAACAAACGCCTTTGACTTAAGAAATAATTCCAGTGGAAAAGCATGCTCTAATAGATCAGATTTCAGGAAAACAATTTAAATAACATAAAGATGAGTTTCATGAGAATATGGGTACTAATGTATATGGGAGAATGTACATGCTAAGACCATATGCAAATACATAGATCTAGAAGTGTCATTTGGTATAAAAGGAGGAGTACTTCCCCAACCCTCAAGTTTCACTGTGAGCCCAGGAAAAAAAAAAAAGGTATCTTTCATTACTTCTTGAAAACCACCTGAGGAAAGATGTGGATTTTAATTAAAGCACCGAGAGAGGTAATGAAATATGGATTGAGTTTTGTGCTTGGCTATAAAATAATTGATGAAATCTGGGAAAGTCACAATCTCTAAGAAATGTGTATAACAAAGAGAGAGGGTTGGACCAATTCACGGCTAAGACTCCTTCAAGCATTTGTTAAACTAGGGCAAACTTTGAAGGTCTGCTCCAAAGAGGACATGTGTGTCCAGTCACCTACAGTGACCCAGAGGACTGCTTAATCCTATCTGTACTTCCTGCAACACATAGTTGTAAGTATATTCTGAAAGTGCATTAAAGTTTTCTGATTGCATAGAATCTCTGGCAGAAATCTGTGGGAACAGCTCACTGCGGAGGTATATGCATGCCCTTACTGATTTGGGGAGCTGAGGGCAGAGAAAGCATTTCTGGACAATTCTAACCCACGCCCAAGGAATAATTTCACGCTGACAAGTTTTTCTTAAGAAAGTGTTCATGACTTGGGTGGTTAGACTAAGCTTGCATTCAGAAACAGATCATCTGGAGAGGTCTTAATGAAAGATTTCAAAGCTCACAAACTTTTGGATTCTTTGTCAGTCAGATCACTTTGTCCACATTTGAAATAATTTGTGACAAACCAATCATGATATAACAAGACAGTTTCAGGAATGGGTAATAATGGTGTTAACATGGCTGGTAGAAACAACGGATCCTATGTGATAGTCAAATGTTCGTAAGAAGAGTCTAGGTTGCTAATTACGCCACTCGTTTCCCTCTAGATGGCTCTTAAGATAACAGATCCGCCAGTTGTGGACCTTTTTGATAAAACAAGGCTGGAAGCACTGAGTGTCTGGTTTCCTGTCTTTATCCCCATTCTTCACTGGCATTAGCTCCTTCCACCCCTTTCACAAGGTAACGCTCTCTCTAAGTATATAAAACAGGAAAACACGTAGTTCAGAAACCTTACTACCATCTATGTAAATCAAAGTTCCAATGATCTAAAGAGGGTTATGGAATGAGAAGAAAAGCAGAAAAGAGAGAGAGTTGGTTTAAACTAATATAACTATCCTGTTATTTATGTATGCACATGACACGACAGTAATAAAAGACTTTAAACCTGCTGATCATCTCGCAAATATATCACTGAGACACAGAACATCTGTGGGTATAGGGAAGGGAAAAGAATATGTCCAGTAGACTGACTCTAGCAATGATCAGGAAACCCAAAGGCTCAGTTTTTGCACCCAGGGGCAAGCGCAGTGGCAGAGAAGCATGCTTGCATTCTTAAATATATAAATATATATATATATATATCCACAAGGAAAAAGAAAATAAAAATTAAACAAATTATATGTAAAAAAAAACAACAAAAAAAAAAAACCAAACCAAACCAAATCAAAGAAACAGAAAAAAAAAGGCTGGCTTGTCAGGGAATGGGGTCAAGAAGGCCCCGGTGTGTGTACTTACATAGAGGTCAGCACCGTAAAATCCGTCCTGGTAAACCACACTGCAGAAAATCCACACAAAAACAAAAACAAAAAACAAAAGAACAGAAACACATTCCGGTTATTGAGGACGGCGGCATGCACATGCGCTCTACACAGGCAGGTGATGTATGAATACGGAACCGGGGCTGGGGGCCCAGCGCATAGGTGAGAAGACCGTGCAGGTGCGGCGCACGTTATACAGCTCCAGGACGTGCGAGGAGGGGGGGAGGAGCGCACAACTGGAAGGGACACCTGGATACTCAATCGTTGCGGGAAGATTACAACCATAAAAGGCATTCCCAGAGGGCCCAAGAGAACTATCGGAAATCTGCTGGATGAGAAACAGCAAGTTTTCATACCCGGAGTTTTTGTTTTGTTCTGTTTTTATTTATTTATTTTTTTTCCCCAAAAAGCTTGCCCTAGGAGGAAATTTTTCCTGAGTTTCAAAATGATTGCATGTGTATGGGGTGGGAAGAGGCACGGAGAGAGGGATCTAACGTGAAAAAAATGAACCCAAAGAATTCCATCAGGGCAGGATCTGTATGCAGAGTATGTTTCAAAATTATGTTTAGTAATTTGTTCTCAGTTTCCTAGAAGTATGTACATTTTTTTTCTGATATCCATACATCACCTGCTTTTTTACCCTGCACATTAGACATGCGATAAGATTTGGCTGATCACACAAGCATGCAAAGTATTATTATTCAGCATTTTAAGAACCAATGCAACACCTCAGAAAAACAAGTCAATCAATTCTGACCAAAGTAAACAGAGAAATGTAATTAAAAAAAAAACACAACCAAAAATACCCACAATGCATTGCTTTCACAAGCAGAGATAATGAGCTAAAGGTTAAGGTGATTGGTCCAAGGTCCAAGAATTGAAAGGTGCAGTGGGGATCCCAGATAGTAACAATATAATCCAGAGCGGGAAGGAGAGGAACTGGAAGATTTTAAGGGTTCTTTTTTGACCATAAGCATATTCATGGAACTCTGAAAAATAGAACTGATAACGAGGTTCTGGGCGTGACCAAGGATCATCCTGTTTTATTTAAAAGGATAACACTGAGAAAGTAGCTGATTAGGAATAGAAGGGTTTATTTGCCTGTTTAGAAAAATGAATCTGTATCAAACAAAATACATGAATTTTTGTTTGCTTGATTTTTTAAATCCTGGACAACACTAAACTATTATAATCACAAGTTTCAAGCCTTTTGAGGTATTCTTCTGCATACAGACTTTCCCCAAAACATTATTTTGGGACCAAAAGACATGGAACAGCAGTAGAGATAAAAGGTAAGACTTTCTTCTTCACACTTGTTAAATCAAGATTTGGATATTTTAAATGAGAAGATCTGTTTATTGTTTATTCAACTAAGAAAGCTGGATAATTTTCACCACTGTCTTCTCTGCTGTAGTAAGTAAACTACGGTGAAGTCTTTAAATCATATTTTTAACTTGAATATGAGACAATTTGTTTTTTGCAGGTAGCTGGAAAGCTTCTGAATTCTATTTACAATTATATTTTGTTGGGTTTACAGGACAGTATGGCCACACTTTGCAATGGCCCCAATACACTGCGCCTTTGTATCGCACAACAGGCGGACTGAGCTCGTCTGTGATGCTCATTTAGCTACTATGTTCTGTTCTTTTTCATAGTTTCCAATTGCTGTTAAAGCCTGATATTAGAAAGTGATCTGCCTCTCAACTACATTTGAGTCAAAAAGACACTTGTTCTGACAGAGTGGAAAGCACTGAAGCCAAGTGGTAATTAATTAACCTTCGACTACTTCAGTAGGGCACACAGGCAAAGATTACAATCATCTCTTCTACAAAGAAGAGTGGTGGCATTAAAAACATGAATGAAGTTTACCCTAAGTTGCATCACTCACTGGGAATATTCACCTAAATTCTAGAAGAATTCTAATATTCCCTGTATCAAATGCCACAAGGAGGCTAGAACATAATGATTAATGATGAAATTAGTTTACTAAGCTGAAAAGCAATTTTAGGCCATTCCCCATATAATACTGGACTTATTCCTTGCCATCTTCCATGTAAATCGGTGGTTTAGTTAATAAAAAAGAAAACATGGGAAATCAGTGTTCAATGTAATGCACAGAGATTGGTATGATTAGACATAAAGATAAAATATCTTTAAGCGAACACAATCCTGACACAGACTTGGCAGAGAATGGGTTCTCAAGTTTGGCCAATATGTTGAAATGAGGTACATCGAATAGGAACGAATCCAACCGTTTTTATAAAGTAACTGAGGGAGATTACAAAATAAAGAAGTCCCATGTTTCTGGTGAGTGGGAGGTATCACTTTGCAAGCATGACAGTCAACAGTCTTGGACTGAAATGGAAGGCACCTCATGAGCAATTTTCCTAGTGTGCAGAACTTCCGAAAGGTTTGTTTTTATATTTTACTATGAGTATTTCTTGATGAAATCATACTGCATCTTTATTCACTTCTTTAAAGAGATGTCAGAGGTTGAAGGTCAGAGGTCAAGTTGAGAGCAGAAAGAATAAAATTAAAAGCAAGTCATGGCAGAAGATGGAGATGATGGAATGCATGGGAATTAAACATCTATAAACTGCAAACAAAAGTTTATTTCTAAAGCAGTTCCCTTCCAGCAGCTTCTGGAGCCTGTCCATTTCAACGTGCGTACTTGTCTAATAAAACTGCTCTAATTCTGTGCCACGGAGGACCCCTAATGGCATGTCCATTTGGTCTATGAGTAAATGCTACGTTAGTATACCTCAAAGCCAATTTTGCTGTCAGAAAAGGACCTACGAAGGAGGCTCTTCCCCTTTGAGTTTTAACTAAGTAGCAACGAAGAGGCTCCTCCGCCCCTGCTTTTACTCCTCAGGAAGAATATGGGAAAAAACCTGTCATAGGCAGAGAAAAGATGAAGAACGCAAATGTCACCTCTCTGAGGAAAGGAAAGTCCTTGGTACAACTAACTTGTTGAAGTCCACTCTTTATAAAAATAGACATTTTAGGCTGACACTGAGAAACAACTAAAAACAAAACCTGCCATCTTCGCTCCTTCTCCCCCATTCGACAGCCAAGGATTGATTTGTTGCTATGGAATCAGTCCACTGCGTGAGACAGCCTCCACACCAAATTCAAAGGGTGAAGGACGCTCAGCTCCATTAGTTGTTTTACCATCATTCAGAAGCCAACTGTGGTTTAATTCTTCCTACTTCTCCCTTTCTCCCTGGATTCAATTGGACTTGGTTCATCTTTGAATTAACCTCTTTTAATCCGTTTCCTACAAAGAAAGCAAATCCATTGTGGGTAGCTAGCTCTGCTGCTCACCACCCAGGCAGTGAAACCAAAAGGGAGGGCGATGTGGTAGCCTCAGCCCCAACACAGGGTGGTGGTAAGGGGGTGAGCACAGCAGAGGCGGTCTCGTACTACGGTCTTGAGCTCCTAGTTTGGTTCTCTGCAGTAGTGTTAATCCGCATTCGTGCGATGCTGAGTGAACTCCATGCCAACACACTGCTAGTAAACACAAGACAGTTCTGGCTGCTGTCTTAAGCCACTACCACGAGGGCTTAAGGTGGCCAAAATGAAGATTTATATAACGAATTGGTATTACATTACATTCTGATGATGGTATGTTTTGGTTCTTGCCATCTAATCCATTAATGTACAAATATTCATAGAATGTCTACGATGTGGCACGGCGACATCCCAGAAGTTGTGAGAGGGCCATGGTATTCTTTTCTGTCCAGCTGCTTATTTTGGAATCTCATGCTTACCCTGGATAGGCGGGAATGGCTGTTGGAGGTACCGCTCGGACCGCACCGTATACCGTCCGCCCTCTGCCCCTCAGATGGGCTCCTCTGAAAGCGGCCGCCGTGGTGGCTGCAGTCGGGTAAGGGAAGCCAGGAACTAAAGGGAGACCCAAAATATGACAGGAATGTCAACTTGCATTTAGTCGCAGGGGGTACAATCCCAACTTGCTTTGAGCCACCTCCAGGAAAGGTTGAAAGATACATGCCCCACCTTTCCTGAGAAAGAAACGGAGAGAGCCAATACGCAAAGCCAATGAGGCGCGCTCCGCTCGTCACCCGTCTTGAGTGAGTCCGCTCTGCGCCTTCTCAGTTCTGGCCTTTACACGCACGCTGGTGAGAAACAGGCCCAGCAGCTCTACGAACTACGGCCGTCCTAAGGGATGAGACTTTTCACTTCTGTGGGCCGTTTACATGGATTGACATGAACTCTCTAACTGGCCAATTATTAATCTTGTCTTCACATGTTATTATGCGCATTATAGTAATTATTCTTTGTAAGAATAGTCTTTTGTGTTTGTACATGGTGCCAACCTCCGAGGCACACAATAATCTTTAGACATTTCATTAGTCCACTTTGTTCTTTTATCTAAAATGTTTTAACCCAGAAATGTAAGGGGAGAGGGAAACGACTTCTCCCCTGTAATCCTGTGGCCCTTAGGGAGGTAGGCAGTTTCTAAAGGTCTACTTTAAATGTCTTATCCTTTGGAAAGCACACAGAAACGTTTATTCCATGTTCGCTGAACTCGTTTTAATTATGCCTTTCACTGGAGCAAAATGGCTCAGGTCAGAATGACTTCAGCGGTATCCACAGAGCGGAGAAGAACCATTAATTCTGGAGGTGCTTCTAAATGATACTCTACGAACGGGCCCCAGGAGACTTGCACAGAACGTAATATATCCCACAAGCACCTATTGCTTTGGTTTTCTTTAAAATCAACTGCAGATTAAAATGTTCTACACATGTCCTCACCCGTCCCGACCTCTCCCAAGTATTTATGCTTCATGGCAAACTTAGTATCTTAGATTCTAACACAGGTTAAGCAGGACAGGGCACTGTGACAGCATTTAACTCTCCTTCGAGAATGTCTCCTCTTCAGTTACAGTTTATACTTGAGGAAGGAAAAAAAGACTAGCACACATCACTGTTTACTCCCAACAGTCAAAATCCATGCCAGGCCAACATAGGCTACTTACTGATTAAAGGAATGTAAGTGTTAATACCCCCTCTTCCCGACAGGGGCACTGCTGCATCATTGCCTAGGGACACGTCTGCTTGAAAGCTGGATGCTGATTGCATTTAAGAAAAAATTAAAAAATGCAAAAAGATTACAAAGAAATAGTAGACTGAAAAACAACAGATGTTGTTATAGGTAACTAGCATAACCAGAAAAATGAACGAGCTTCTACCTGCATATAACTCAGGGCCATATACAGCTCCAACGACGGGGCTTAATTTCCAACCTGGAATGGAAGAGAGAGGAGTGAGCACTGAAGACTGCATGAGGAAACAGGGCAGGGGGTGAGGAAGGCACGTGCGAGCTGGCTCCAGAGAGCCCGACGCACAGCCCGGCTTAGCTGTGCATCACGACCTTCTCTGCAGATGCCGGCTGGGGGGTTCTAGGGAGACATTTCCACAGCTGAGCATCTTTAAGCAGGACTAGCACAGCAAAGGGATAATGAGGAGCTGGGGGTGGGGGCAAGGACAGGCGCAAACTGGAGGGAGAGAAAAACTGGGAGGGAAGAAGGAAGAAGGAGAGGGAATGGAAGAAGGACAAAGAAGTACAAGAAATATAAATGAATCCTGGGCTCTGGTACAGTCTCTTTCACAGAACTGCTTAGAATGTATTCCTTCTTTTTAGAAAGAGGAGAAAGACAGAATATGTCATTCTACACCACACCGTGATGCATTTTTTTAATATAACATCTTCACACTGTTGGCTACTCTCGCTGTTATAAAGGTATCCTCTGAGCTCAAGTTTGAGCTGATCTTTGACTCCGTGTTCAATAATACCATGCTGATGGAAATCTGGGTAAGCCAAAATCCCCTTTCTTTGGGATTTACCACTGGAACCTCAGGCAAGTGAGTAAGAAGAGACACACAGGAGTAAAATTCAAGGTACATTCCCAACTTCATGCATGTCATGGGATTTTATTTGGTAATATACATACTTAAGTTAATCAGTCATTTTAGCTAAAGTAGTACCCTTTATTTTATATAAAAAAGAAAAATGTACTACCGCCCAGTTAAGGAGAATTCCAGATGAAAACATTAATCAATAGATATTCATAGAATTTTACACATAAATAAGCAAACATGCTCCATTATTTTTCTGAAAGACTGGAGACAATATTCAAGAAAAAAGGCGTTCATTCTGAACCAATCCAATCCCCATTCATTATTTTAGGTGCTCAGAGATGATGAGCACATTATTTCACCTAAAAATTGAGCAAATACCTCAGTTCAAATCCTACTGGAGTTGTAAGAACTCAATGTTCTGCAATGTCTGACAAATCACGTTATTTCAACCAACGTAAATTAAACTGCTGGCTGAGAATTCACCAGAAGGCACCTCGAATACTCTTCTCAGAAGCTTTAACCATAAGCAGCTGTAGGTCTCTAAAGTTTGGCTGTTAGGCTTGAATATTAATTTAGACTAATATTCAAAAATGACTTTTTTCCTTCCTGCCAATGCCACTATTACTTAAGCATTCCCTTAAGTAAAAATACACATTTTAATATTGGTATATAATGGTATGCGGTCAATAATACTTTGAATATGTTTAGTTTGGTACAATTTACAATATATTTTGACCTTTACAAAACCCAAAGAGAGAGTTAAGAAAGTTGCTGTCCCAGCAGGACAACAAGTAAATACTACACTTCTCCAGGCTTAATTTCCTAAATAATAAGCTAAGAGGGCTGGGTTTTGAAGACTTCCATAGAGTCTTCAGGTGCTAAAATTAATGCAGACAATGCCTATTAATGGAGACAAAAACAGAATCAGGTTAAAAAAGAATGGCCCAACGACTTAAAGCAAAATGAAGAGTCAAATCTAGAAGTAGAATTTCTGTCTTCTGAATTCCAGTCAGTGACTTTTTCTAGGACAGTGTTCCCCCTGGATCTAAAGGAAATTTGACTTACTTTGCTTCTCCTTCCTATTTTGTTTACAGCGGGTTATCAAAATAACCCACTGGAAAGGCAGCAGTAATAATCTACTACAAGGCAGAAACTTGTGTTTTTGTCTTTTTTTAAGATTTTATTTATTTGTCAGAGAGAGAGAGGGAGAGAGGGAGAGCACAAGCAGGGGGAGTGACCGACAGAGGGAGAAGCAGGCTCCCCACTGAGCGAGGAGCCCAATGTGGGACTCAACTCCAGGATCCTGGGTTTGTGACCCAAGCCAGAGGCAGATGCTCAACGAACTGAGCCACTCAGGCATCCCAGAAACTTGTTTTTGTGATAGCAGTGTAAAAAAAAAAAAAAACACCAAAAAACCAAAAAACCAAAAACCAAACAAACAAAAAAGAAGAGGTAAAGGGGAGGTGATGGTATCACATTATATACCATTGATAAAATGGGTAGGGAAAATGTAAATTACACTGATTCGGACCATCCGTTTGAAAAGCTGAGCTACATGTATCTACTGAAGAAATACCAGAATATACTAAGATACTTGTATTTGACTTAAGACATTACCAGCACATACTCTCGTACTCTAGCAGTAGAGTCAAACTTTTAAAAAGCAGCAGAAAACACCCCATTTGATTCTGGATAAAATTCCATGCAGGACGCTAAAATATATGACAGAGAAGGAGTTGCTGCAAACCTCAAGACCCAACCCATGGGTTCCCTCTCCACCCCTCCCCAAGAGCCCCTAGAGCACCACTGGCAAAACCAATGGGCATTGCAGATCCAAATTCAGTTCTGTCCCAGGTAGGTAACATGCGTCCAGATTAAGTGGACACATTTGCTTTTGTCAGGCAAAATATTCACACACGTATGAAACGCCCTCTATAGCATGCAGTCCTGGGACAGAAGATGGAAAACACATGCACATGCGCCACCATGGCTGTTATCTCTAGAGCATACCTTTAGAGGGAGAGCAAGGGATCAAGAATTATTCCACTCCTGCGCAGAGTGGGTAGGGATCAGTAGTAAAAGTGAGCACTGGTGGGCACGTATTACAGACAAGCCTATCCTATCACAAAGAATGATAGCAGCTAAAAATGAGAGTGCCTTAGTGGGACCCCACTGGGTTAACAGGTCACCCCAAATGACGTGTTTACGCTTTGTGTATGAACTTCACCACGACCATTACAGCTTAGTAACTGAAAAACTAAGCTTAATTCTAAGAAAAAAGTTAACTTTAAAAATAGGGTACTAGGGTGCCTGGGTGGCTCAGTGGGTTAAGCCTCTGCCTTTGGCTCAGGTCATGATCTCAGGGTCCTAGGATCAAGTCCCGCATCGGGCTCTGTGCTCAGCAGGGAGCCTGCTTCCTCCTCACTCTGCCTGCCTCTCTGCCTACTTGTGATCTCTCTGTCAAATAAATAAATAAAATCTTAAAAAAAAAATAGGATACTCTTCTAGTAAAGTACACTGTAAATTAAAATGCCATAAGACTGAAATCAAGAGAGATTCTTTGATTACCAGAAGTTCACATATTAATACAAGAATAAGTGACATCCTTCTGAAGATGACTTGTAATCTCTTACCATTTGCATATGGTGTGACCATCTTCTTATTGGTCATTACACGTGCTGTAGCATTATTCACCTAAAAATATAAAGGAAAAAGAAGGGGCAGGGAGAAAGTAGACCACATTAGGGAACATGGAGTTGCTCATCCAGTAACACAGCACTCAGTTTAATAAAATGTTAATTTCAGAGAACATTGATTTAAATAATATAGCGATATAAAATATTAATATATAGTATTTTAATTAAAGTGTTTATAAAATGAGGCTAACAAGAGTAAAATGCAGTTTCTTGGTCTCCAAATGGAAAACTCAGGCTAGTTTACCACCAAGTGCTCAAAAGGAAAGATATATTTGCAAGTTCTTTGGCAATCTCGTAAACAGAGAAGTCTCTGCATTATGGGAAATACGGGAAAAAGTCAATAGGAAAAAACTCTGTGCATGAACTTTGAAGTTCATTAATAAAACAGAGGCTTGCCATATGGGTCAGGGAATAGATTTACAGGAAGAAAAGAAATCTATGGATTTCACCTGTTCTAATGTTCAGCATTTTTGAGGACTGTGTAAGATTTTACTGTTTGAGGAGGAAAAAAAAATCAGAACTTAGAATTCCATGTTGACCATCTTCAGGACCATGGTGAATTTTTTAGACTATGTCGTCTATCCACTTAAGAATAATGTTTTCAGAAGGCCTTTAAATGAGGCACTTACTGAAAAAATAAAGCTCCGGTTTCTTTTGCTGTATGGTTCTCTCCACCCTCATTACAGAAGTGCGGAATTCAGAGCATTCTCGGTGCTAGGGTAAGTAGGTGTTACAAAGATGGTGCCGATGGCAAGAAGATGAACGGAGCCTGAAGCCAGGAGACTGCAGCCCAGTGTGAAAACCAGCCTAAAGCTCTTGCAAGGAGGGTGCAGCATCACTATAGAACCTGGCTGTCTGCCGTGTGGTCAAGTCAGAGAACAGGCCAGCGTTTAGAAAAAGAATTCTAAAACACACCAAATATAAATGTCTTGTTTTGCCTCTGGGGATTTACATTAAAGTTATAATTTGTATGGTGATAAATTTGTGTTATGGAATGTTCTACCAATTTTTGGTAGAACCGGAACCCAAACATGTCTTAACAGGTCCTTCAGGATTGGCAAGAGTGGGAATCTTCCTTTGTGAGGAAAAGAAACTCCATTTACTCTAGTTCGACCCACCAAGTAATAGAAACATTTCACATTTAAAAAGAAAGAATGGGATACAACAATGATGACTGAGAGCATGCAGTTAGAACACACACACACAAATAAAAGAAAGAAAAAAAAAAAACAATCAGTTTTGGAAAGAAGGGAGAGAGTGAAGAGCGAGGTTCTCGCAGACAAGGATTAGAATGGGGTCAGAGCTTACACTAGCTGCTAGAGCAGAGTGCACCCAAGCGCTAAAAGGAAAATGGCCAGAACCAATCAGAAACCACCAGTCAGCAAGAGACCCATAGCCGCAGGTGACAGAGAGAAGGGGCAGGAGAGACAGAGGGAGAAGGATGGGGACAGAACCTGGGGCGAGAGAGCAAGAAGGCAGGGGAAAAGAAAAGAGAAAGTCAGGGGTGTCACGGGCAGCAAAGAGAGCTGTCAAGGGCAAGGAAAGAACAGAGCTACATACAGGTTTGGGGGAGGGGAATGGAAGTAGAGGCGGGAAGTGCATTAATAAAACCAGCCAAACTTGGAGCTCAGTAACTCTGAGTAAGATGTGCAAGGGGGAAAAATCACCATGATGTCAGTAATCAAACAGCTCAGACCGCTACAAACAACATGTACATCCAAAGTCCAGGCGGCACTACTCAAGAGCATTGAAAATAAAAGGGGGAAAGGAAAAGGAAGAGGAACAAGTCAAATCACATTTTGTAGTGTTAATGTGAGATGGCAGATGGACTTTTTCTTTCTTATTTAATTGTTTTGTAATTAACAATTGAAAAAGCTTCTTGTCTAGTGCTTGGTTTCACTTACCGCCAACGGGCACCATCGCCAGCATTGTGTATAGTTACCAGGGAAAGAGGGAGTCAAGTGAAGGGCCCTAAATGCTAAACCATTGGAAAGGGAGGGAAAAAGCAAAATATGCAGACATCTTACTCAAAATGGTGGCTTTTATATTTCATACTTTAAAAAAAACTGGGAAAGGGGAAAGGAGCCAGTTAACCTTCACTGCGTTCTTAAAAAGGACTGGCAAACACCACGGGACTGCCGGGAACACGGTAAAAGCACATTCGCCAGGCAGCCATCAGACCCTCTTGTCTGAGGATTTTATCCACTATTCCCGGTGGCAGTTTGTGATAGTGAATATACTTAAAAATGCCACGAGTTTTGGGATCTTTCTTCCCTCCCCCCCGACCTCTGCCGTCTTGTACTCCTTGCTCATCACACGCACATGGAGGCGAACTGGCCGCCCAAGAGAGAGGGTACTGGCTGGCTCCTTGATTCATTATAGGACACAAAGTCACAACTGGATCATTTTTAGACATTTATAAAGTTAGTTTTATTTTGGCCTGATCACAGGTATTCATACGAAGTCTCGCAAACTGAAGCAAAGGAAAAAAATCAAGAGAGCAGAAAGATGAACATTTTGGGGGAAAAAAGTAAATGAGAAACAAATACACATGTACACGCACACAAGTAAATAAAAATGAGACCCCCCACCAACAACCAAAAAATAGGGAAAAGAGGACAGAAGTGTTACTTTTACACATTTTAGTGCAAGAAGGTGAAGGACACAGAGACACACACACACATACACATATGCATGTGTGCAGAGACACACACACAAGACAGGGCTCCAAATGTGAAATAAGTGAGGGAATACACAAAAAGAGAAATGAAAATATAAACCAGAAATTGAATTATTGAAGACATGCACCTCGATTTTACGGCCCTCTACCACGGTGCCGTGTAATTTCTCCCTGGCCCTGTCTGCATCAGCACTATTCTCGAAAGTTACGAACCCGAATCCCTGCATGCAGCGGGAGAAGGGGGGAAAACATGCACATCGTTATATTGAAATATTGATCTCTTGGTAAACAGAGAAAAAAATATCACAGTATGAAACTGACATCAGCATCGACCCAGCAGTACTCTCCCAAAGTCACATTTTTGGTCCATGCATATTTGGTAAAGGGAAATTAAATCCAGTAACAATACAGAACTGTAGTAGTAGTAGTAATAATAATAATAATAATAGCAACAACAACAGCAATAATAATAATGATGATAATGTAATTAACAACAAGAACAATAATAAAATAAAACGTAAAGCATGTGAGGCCAGACCAAAATTAAGGTATAGAGCTACTCGGGTCAAATTCTCCCACCAAGAATCTCAACATTGTTTTAGATGTTCTGTCTCTTTCAATTCATGCTGTTAATTTACATGTCCTTTTATGTAATGCTAAAAAATAATTAAATCTGTCACTCCTCAGTAACTTCTACATGAGGCCTTCCATTTAGGTATAATCACTGCATATTGGGATTTTTAGGAGATCTCATCACTTGGCCCCACTCTGCCTGTTCTCTTGTAGCAACATAATTCCTCTGGGAACAGAATAATTTAAAACATAGCCTCCATCTATAATTCTGTAGGGACTGGGTGTAGAAGAAGAGAGCACCCATGTTCATCTAAGCTAATGAAAATACCACTAAGCAGTGGCCAATTATGCCTTTTCTTCAACGAATTTTAAACAACCAGACTGGCACTCAGAGTAAAAATAGGTTCAGCTGAATTCCAGAGAATAGCTTATCCAAATTTGCCTAAATTACACATTTGTTGAAGCCTACATCTGCTACTAAATGTATTAGTAATTTTCCATGTAGACGGAAAAAAGGAATCAAAAGGCAGTGCGAATGAGATCTGTTAGTGACATCAGCTGTATACTGTCCAACAGGAAAAGAATACCATAAAACAGCAATACACTTGGTCCCGAGTTAGAATTAATTTATTTGTGCACTGTACACAAAGAAATCGTATGGAGCTTTAACTCACTGAGTGGAAAATGCTGGAACCAGGGAGTTAACCCACCTACTCCTACAGTCACATGTATCTGAAAAGACGGTCTTGGTCATAATCGTACCACCAATGTCAAAAGCAGGATTTACTATATATTTCTGTGACTATTTCATCAAGCGTTCTATCAATTTCATCCTACTGCTTTGTCCTCCCCTCTTTCCACTCTGCAACTGTAACATTTTCCCAAGCTATTCACATGTGTAGAATAGTTAATTCTTAGGATTTTCTGGGCAAGTCCCCATTTCTCAAGAGCTGCACTGTCCCTCTGGCATTCTTCTAATGTTCCACTGTAGGATAACCTGGAAACCTTTGTTATTTATTTTTACGGAAGTTCTGCTTTGCTGCCCTCCTCGAGTCTTTCCATCTACATACAAAACGTGTTCTTAACCGAGATGGTCAATGGTGTGCATAGCTCAGTAAGATTTTAGAAAAGCGATTTCATCCTTTTGACGGATCTCATTACTTTGCATTCTACATGACGAAATGGTTGCTGATTGGTGATCCATGGAGAATCCCAATGGAGTATCTTTACCTGTAATCTGGGTATCACCACAAATACCCTGGAAAGTGCAATGCTGAGCTGACAGAAAAATTTAGATGTCTGCTGCTGGATGGAGGTGGACTGCTCCAGGTAATTGTATTAACATTTTCTTTAAAAATGTTAAGTATGTGGAAAATATCAATGGAAACACATTTTCAGAAACAAATTATGATACCAACATGTTACAGCCACATCGACAGCTCGAGGTATATGATCTCAGATTACTAATTAATGACATGGTGCGTTTGTCACCTACACTGGGCTCTACTGAAGACAGGAAGCCAGTTCTCCAATCCTGGGGCACCCTCCAATAAAAAAGTTAAGTAAACCATTCAAGAAAGGTCACAGGTAGTGAGGAGTTTTATAGCACACTGTGGAAGTACTGTAAACTGTGTTCCAACTGGTTCCCACAGCCTCATACAGATTATAAGACTTGGGTTAGATAAATAAATGATAAATTAGGAGCTGGGTAACAAATGATGTGGAGACCAACACCTAAGGTTTTGACGACTGGCCTTACGACTACCTACATCGACACACCCATACACTCACATATTTGTGCGTCTTGTAAATACAACCACGAAGTAGAGAAAGGATAAATCTATTGTTTTCATTTTTTAAGATTAAGAAAGTAAATCAAACTGAGGTGAGACACCCAAGCACCGACAAGGCGTTCTTCCTTCCAGGTGGCTTCTTTCCACAGCTAACGGAGAGAAAATAAGAAATAAAGCTCTAAACCCCAAGTTCAGTATTCTATTAACCAAACTCCATTCGTCCTAAAACCCTTCTAATTTTCTTTTTCAAATCCAATTGCTAAAGGTGTTCTGCGAGCCTCTGGTCTGTAATGCGCTGACTGAGCACCTGTGACTTAGTGACAGCAGCCGGAAGAATTCAGGGTGGTGTCAGAAGCCAGCAGAGCTTATACGCCACAGGAAATACTAATCAAAATGCCAAAGATAGAAAATGAACCAATCTTCACCTAGGGTAAAGGAGGAAGAAGGTCTTGCTGATGATACTCTGGGACTTCTGATAGGAAACAGAGGTAAGCAGATTTCCTTCTTTCCTTTGAAGATAAATAGACTTAGTGGCGGGCAGAACAAACACCGAAGTTGTCCACATCCTAATCCTTGGAACCTGTGCATGTTACCACCACCTTACCCGGCAAAAGGGATTTTGCAGATGTGATTAAATTAACGATCTTGAGATAGGGAGATTATCCTGGATTATCCAGGCAAGCCCAGTGTAATCACAAGGGTGCTTATAAGCTAAAAGAGGGAAACAGGAGAGTTGGAATCGGAGTGCAGCAGACTGAGAAAGACAGAACTGGCCATTTTTGGCTTTGAAGATGGAAGGGGGCTACAGGTCAAGGAAGGTGGGTCCCCTCTAGAAGCTGGAAAAGGCAAGCACTGGATTATGCCTTAGAGCCATCTGAAAGAATGCAGCCCTGCAACACTTTGGTTTTAGCTTGGTGAGACACATTTTGGACTTCCAGGTTCCAGAACTATGTACGATAACAAATCTGTGTTTTTAAGCCACCAACTTTAAGATAATTTGTTCAGAAGCAACAGGAAATGAGCATGTATCTCTCAGAAGTCTGTGATTAGAAAGGTGAGAAGTTTAGGCAGCATTTTTAGAATACTGTTCTTTAATACTTTCCTCTTGTGTTGAAACTTTAGATTTTCCGTCAACTACAACGTGGTTGCAAGAATATTAACTCAAATAAAACCTGAAAAGAAGTTTAAGGTACCATTCTGAAAATGTGCCAGGAACTGAGCTAAGGATATTTACAGATTATCCAGGCTTAAAAAGTTACTAACAGGAAAATACGCTTACGTGAAATTATGTTTTAGTGTCCCTCCATTCTTGGAAATCTAATTCACATTAAGTTTGGTCATTTGAATCTCTTGCTTTAAAAAGAAAAATTTAATTTAAAAAACTCCCCAATGTTGACATGTTTGTCTATACAGGGCTATCTGACAGAAATATAACACAAGCCACATACATAATTTTAAATATTCTACTAGCCACACTGAAAAAGTAAAACTATATGAAAGTAATGTCAATAATATATTTAAAATATGTGCAAATACTATCATTTCAACATGGCATTAATATAAAAACATTAACGAGATATTCTTTTTTTCTGCTCAGTCTTTGAAATCATGTGTATTTTACACTGAAAGCACATCTGAATTTAGAACTTGCCACATTCTAGGTGCTCAATATGGACACCGTATGGAACAATGCAGGTCTCTATGCTTTATACTATAACCTACCGCTCTCAGTTCTCAAACTCTTTCTGTGTCAACAATTTAAATAAACCAGTTTTCCATGTGTGATTTACTCCTATCTTAGCTTATCTTGTGAAAACTGAGGAATGGGATGTCTATCAGGATTACGGCTGTGGTCAAAACTTCTACTAAGTGTGACAAACATGTTATCACCTGTCCGTTTATCATCTGTTTATCATCAAGGGCCTATAGGAGCCGAATAACTACCACCTTTTTAGTCTGGCCTCAGACAGCAATAAATAACAAGCAATAGGATGAGCATTGGAAAAATATTCTGAAATTTGTATAATCTTTGAGTTTTTCCATCTCAGAAGAATGAGAAAGAAATTTACCATGTAACTTTTAAGGGAGAAACCAAAAGCAGACGTTCTCCTGGGTATGGCCAGAACACAGAAATTTAAAAATAAATAAAAGAAAAATAAAACTAAAAACCATAAGATGGTAACAAAAAAATAAACTAAGCCCTTTGAAAATACATGCACTGTTAATTCAGTTTTACGTATTATGAAAAACATTTCAACTCAGCATTACCTATCGAATTTACTGAAAAGCAAAGGCCTAGTTAGTGCAATTTCAAAGACAGTTTTTTGACCATATTTTGAAAGAAATAAGTAATTTCCCTTTGCATGAAATCAAAATCCAGGGAAACAGGCAAGAAATTACAGCACATTACTTGTGTCTGAGGATGGGATTAGAGGCTTTATCTACCCTAACTCCAGCCTAAACGGAAGCCTAACCCCAATTCAGATCCCCATCATCCCAGATATCCATATCCACCTGAGAGAAGTAATGAGAACACATGAGCTAAAAACTTGCTAGAAATGTCAATAACGGTTGCTGCGATGTGGTCTGTGGTCCTTCAGTGAACTTAATTAACAGTTGGCACTGTCTGAAGATGTGAAGAGCTCCTACACACTCCAGTCTTTATGATACACGTCCCTTGGAGCAACAACCACACCAGAAGTAGGTCGACAAAACTTTATGGAAAATATAAATGTTAGAATGTGTACATTTCTTTACTTAGTAATATAACTGTATGTGATAATTATCACAAACAAATTGTTATGGGTTGGGTGATAGTGAACAGAATGGTGGAGAGTCATGAATGAGTCAGAGAAAGAGAAATACTGTATGATTTCACTCACATGTGGGATTTAAGGAACAAAACAAACGAGCAAAAGGGAAAAAGAGAGAAAGAGAGAACGAAGAGAGAGGCAAATCAAGAAACCGAGACTTAACTACAGAGAACAAAGGGATGGTTCCCAGAGGGGAGGTGGGTGGGGGATGGGTGGAAAGGGGGGGTTGGGAGCACACTTCCCCCTCCAGGTGTCATATGGAGTGCTGAATCCCTACACTGCACACCTGAAACTAGTCCCTCACTGCATGTTAACCAATTGGAATTTAAATAAAAACTTAAAAAGAGTTTTGAAAAGCAACACATTCTTAGTCACTAGAAGTATCTAACAGCCAATGCAAAGTCAAATTGAACTAGGTAACCATTATTTAGAATTCTGCTTAAGATTCTATGTGAGAAAAAAGACTGGAAGGAAATGCAGGAGATTATTAGTGAATATGCTCTTTTAATGAACTATTTATGCTTTTTATTTTGGGTCTGGACATGAAAAATCACGTTTTTCTTTTATAATGGTTTCGAAAAGGGTGCTTTTTAAAAGTTGTTACTCAAAGGATCTATAAGGAGGGGCAATACAATTTATCATTCAAACTGGAACACTTTGGGGGAGGAAGGGGACATTAATAATTATGCTAAGAAAAGGGCTACAGACTGGGACTATTCTGGATAAACCAGGACATACGGCCACACTACCAATATATTATCTATCTTTCTATTGTTTATAGCAATACATTGTTATGACTGGTGACATCTGGGGAATCAGTAAAGTTATACATATCATATAATCATTTTCTAGATTCTGTTTGAGTATATTCCTTCCATTTTTGGGCGGGGTAGCATTTTTCATCATACATCCTAAGTGAACATTTTCAAAACGAGAGCCTACCTTTGTTTTAGTTAATCATAGGAAATTAGATAGGACTGATTTTATATTTTACGAAGGAGTATGGGGTTAAAAAAAAAAGATTAAAAAAAAATCACATGAAATAATCTAAGTATATATTTTTGCATGTGTATGAATGTAAATGATATACATTCATCTCATAATATAGGAAAACCAAATCTAGACTAGGAAGGTCAAAGACAAAAAAGGAAGATACTCAGCAATTTTTTCAGGCAAGCTGAAAAAGTAGAATGCTGGCAAGCCAGGGTGGGAGGGATGGGGACGGGCAAGGCAGCACAACCGTGCTCACCTGTGTTTTTAAGTGAGAACGTTCTAAAACCGTAGGCTGAGTGTCTCATTATAAAAAAGAAGCCACGTTGCTTTTTTTGCTTTGGAGCCCTGTGGTTATCTGTTTCACTGATAACTGTTTTACATGTTAGTATCACTTATCTCAGAATTATTTTGTGACTCATTTTTCAATTACTGCTTCAAAAAAAAATTCAATAAAGCTAATTTTTGGACAAAAAAGCACTCAGTTCAAAAACCGAGCAACCCTAAAGTGAAGAAAAGCACCACTTATCTCCTTATCGCTGGTTCCTTTCAAGACATGTTGTAATTTTATAGTCAACCAGAAACACAGGAGGAATGAGAAAATAAACTTAATTTACAAAAAGAAAAGTACTCTTTAATTTATGTGAGGAGGATCCCAGAAGAGGCCCCTGGGTTTTGACTCCAAAATAAACCTCTGTTAATGCGTTTCCAGAACAGTTCCTGGGGAACCCGTTCCAGGAGAGAACTTTAGGTGACAGTTAAGAAGGACAAAGGATGCAGACAGATTTTGTATCAGTCCCTGAAGGCAGATCCGGGCAATTCTGAATTCTGTGCTTTGTTATAAGAACAACTGCCAATGAGTACGTAGTCTGTCTACTCTTTAGCACCCCAAAGGAAAAGGGTAGTGAGGACCCAGCATTTTACTGTAGGGAGCAGCATAGGGTTTTAGATGCCCTAAAGAGAAAAGGGAGGCGTGTGTCATTTAAACATGAAAATTACAGGGAGAAGCAACTGAATCGGGAAATTAAACAATTTTTGGTAGTAGGCAAATCTTTGAAGTCAATGAAAGAAGCCTTAAGAAAGATCGATTTCCTTTGCTTCATAAGAATTCAATCCAATTCTTTTCTTGGTAAGGAGCAAGTTCCCAGAGCCTGATGAAACCATAATGGGTGTCAGGTTTTTGGGGTGTACTTAACTCAAGTGCAGACACTTAGAACTAAAAACGTTTAGACTACGACTTTGGATAAACAGTGTCGCATAGAATCGTTACATATTTATGAGATGTTCATGCACTTCTCATCTCTAAACCACTGTCATTTTTCCACCTTGGATCTAAAAATCTGCCCCCAAAATAAAAGCCAAGGGCCAGAAATCCACTGTGAAGAAACTACAAGCATAAATAGTTTTACTGGTTACAGGTTGAACAGATTTCACTTTAAAAATACTTACCAAGTTAAGTGCTGGAGAAAGGTCTGTATAGGCATGTTAATCTTTTTTTGTTTTAACTGAAAACTGGAAGCTTAGAGTATAATTACCTCTTTAATAATTAACAAAGAATTATTATAATCAGAATTAAACAGTATCAGTGATGATGAATTCTATAAAGGAAGGGAATAATCAGGACCGTTAGAAGAGTACATACATTTGTGTTAGTTTAGATGTGGCAGGAGGTACCTGTAATTCTGTAGGTATATGCTATTAATTCTCAGGGTAGGGTGAATTTGGAGTGGGAAATTGAAGAGGTAAGTATTCACTCATTTATTTGTTTTATTTAGCTTTTCTCAAATTATATTCTTAGAGATTTAATCATAGCCAAGGGGTAACTTGCAAAGTTCAGGAGAGAAAACCAAATGAAAAATTAACTCAAAAATGGCTCTACACTAAAAATGAAAGTAGAAGGGAACACAGCAAGGTAAATGTTTACAAGCCTGACCACAGCTGATTGTGTCTGCGGCAGGTATTTCATTTGTTGAGGAGGAAGAAAACTGTTGAATGAAACTGTGAAATTCGGTTCATTAAATATTTTTTCACACCACTCAAAGACTTCATCATTCCCTCCTTCCTAAAATCACTGCTGCTCATTTTAGTGCATGGAAATTCTCAATCATACAGATTGGGAATTTAAAATAGTCAATTATTAGGGGGAAATCAGTTTTAATTAGAATGTTCAGTTCTCATATAGAACAGTTTTCGAAGGGAGTACATATATGGAATTGTGCACTGTTACTACTTTCATTCCGATGCCAAAAAAACCCCAGCTCACTATTTGAAACGGAAGGGATTCTATATCCCGAAGCTTACCTCTCTGGGTAGAACTCAGAGGAGGAAATCAGCTTACAGTGAATTCCTGAGTCACTATTCCCTGTTTTTACGCCTTGTCGAATTTATTCAAAAGAGAGAGTAAGTCAACTGAGGAACTGAAATATTAAATGTGTTCTAAGTATGTCATTTCAAAATCTGATTTTTAAACGCGGAATTCACAATAGAATTCTCATAGAATTTCACCGAGTCTTCTCTCTTTTCCTTTAAAATAAGCTGGTGAGGGCGATTTTGTCCGAGAAAGGGCGGGTGTCTCCTGCTCCCGACCTCCCTCCTCACACCTGTCTTGCTCCTACCCCCACCCCTTCCCTCCCCCAACTGAAGTATCAGCATAAAGATGGGCCATGTGGTCCCTTAGTTTGAGAGATAATCTGATCCAAGCCAGGTAGGTTGGGATACTTTCCGCAGGCTTGGAAAACAGCTTTAAATTTTCTGATTCCTTGCCTTTTAAAACAAAACTAAAAAGAAGTCAGGCACACTTAATACTGAGAGGAAGCTTACCTTAGAGCCACGTTCATTAAAGATTATTTCTACATCTAGGATTTTGCCAAACTGCTGCAGAGACAAAAATAAAAAACATTTATTCATGGTCAGCTTTTTGACCACATACTTTATTCTCTTCTGAAAAAGGCACAGATTTTTTTTTTTTTTTTTTTTAAGCTACTTATTCAACCTCCATGTTTCTACTTGTTGGCAAGTCCCAATAACCAGTTTCTGATCTTCCCTCGTCAATGAGCCGACAAGGCCTCCTGTTCCACTCCTTTTTCAGTTCGCCCACTCACGCATTACCCACCTCCACCTGGCAGGAGCCGTTCTCAGAAGACCCTCGCAGTGTTACCCTTCGGATACTTCCTCACGGGCAAGAACTGGGGCTTTTCCTAACTACGTGTTTAATGTTTTAAATGTCTCCGTTTTTAAGAAGCAAATCCTAAGCAGAAAGATAAACTAGTGAAGGCTGTTTTTCTTTCTCTTCTTCTTCTTTTTTTAATTGATAAAAGTAAACTATATTCACTGCAGAAGTCAGGAAATACAGATACATAAAAAGGAAAAGAGGAAACAGAGAACAAAGATCAATCTGCACACCTACCATCTCCCCATTCTGGTTCACAGCATTCGCCGCCTTTCCTTACGTATACTTGGTTAAGGACATATTTCCATGTATTACTTTTTTTTTTTTTAATGCGCTAGACAGCTTTCCAAGCCATTAACTCTACAGTGTGTTCTCATTTCTACAGACTACATGCTATTTTCCATCGTACTTAAACATTCATGGACATTAGACATGATTTCATTTATTTGCCGTTTTAATATTTCGGCACTGAACGTCATCAAGAACATTTTAAGTAATAACTCTGTTTTGTAATTAATTAAATATTTTAACATTTGGGAACAAGCTAGAAACACCAAGCCTAAGTAACTGGGTTAGTGGCAGCTCAACGGCTAACTGGAGGGGCGTGCAGTCACAGTGGTTACACAGCAGAGGCGTGGAGAAGGTGACAAGCCAGCCTGCGTCTGTCTCAATGCTTGGATCAACTCAATGGGAGGGATGTGCAGGAAATCTCTAGGGATCTTTCTGCCCCCACTTTCCTCAGAGTACTGGCCTCACAGACCCAGTGATCTCTTTCACTTGGATTTTAAATCAGAATTTGGGAAATGTGAAAACACTAAAAAAATGAAAAGCGCAAAACAAATCATGCTTTCTCACTGGGCTGAATCATTACTATCTTTTTCAGAAAACATGTACTAAGAGCCCATGTTTTCTAGAGTAAGGCTTCTGGGCTTGATTCCAGTTTTGTCATTTAACAGAACATTAGGAAATTAAAGGAGAGAAGAAAATGTCTTATTTTAGGTAGGAGGGGATTTAATTTTATTTCTATGCCTATCCAAATAACTAAGATTGGAATGGTGTTTTAGAGTTTTCCTTTTACATTCTCTAATGTGTCTTTATACCGACCTGCTAGGGTTAGGACTGCCTTCCTTTAACGGTTAAGGAAACTGCAGCTGAAGGAAGTCACCGGTCAAGTTCACACAGCTAATAAAACAAAGCATGGAATCCTTGCTCTACACCGCTGCTAGGGTCCTTCCAAGGGATAGGTGCTAACTGTGCAGGAGACAGAGCAACTCTACCAGGTATCCCTTGCGAGGAACAATTTCTTTCTTTTTTTTTTTTTTTTTCTTTCTGGATGTAGCAGCCTTATAGGAAAGGCATAATACATTTCAAGAAATCACTGATTAACTCGCCTAGACAGATCTTCAATGGACACAATTTTTCTGACCTGAGAGAAAACATACTTGTGACAGATGAGAATATACTCCATTTTCACTGATCTCCAGAGACCAGGATTCCATATTATCTCTGATAATTCAGTAGAGAACCTCATAACTCCTACTCCTGGGAAACTTCTTTTTAAATATAACCTCTATTCTTGAAGCTGACCTTTATATATTCTGTTCTTTTCTCTTCTGGAGAGATGAAGAGTTGGCTACCTTTTTCTGTCTACCTTTTCTCTTCAAGTACTTCAAGAATGTTATTAAAGCTCAACGCTGGCCTTGGCTTTAGTACAGAAAACACTCAAGGTACTCAGCTGTCAGTGACAAAATTTTGCTCCAGGGTCTTGTCGCCAAAAAGTGGCCATGACCAGGACTTCAAGGGGGGCGCCTGTTTCCCAACAGAGTACCACGCAGCAACAGCCATGAAGGTTTTTTAAAAACCATGATCTCTTGTTTCTAGTTCAAGTTAAGAGTTTGCTCAAATGAAATCTGGCAACAGCGCATATGCCCGGAAAAAAACGTAAGACTTCCAGCAGTCATTCACTTTCCAGTAACTTAAATCTTTGCTGTTATACTATGTTTTCATGACAGTGATTTCAGGAGGAAGGGGAAGCTGGAAGAACCCATCAGGGTAGCAAATCAAACACCTACACCTAATTTTAGATACTGGTCTTGATGCTGCTAAATTACAAGCAGGGAAGTAGAAATAAAACACAGGTACTACCCGCTTCACAGACACAAGGACACTGAACTCGTAACACTCTGAAAAGGATTACTGTCTTTGTCCTGATTTTAGTACTGAAAGGCTCACGTCCCAAGAGACCCCTTGGTCCCGGGCAAACCTGGCGGCACAGTCACCTCCTGTACGTGAGAACCTGCAAGGTCCACGTCTAGAATGACAGGAGTGATGGCGCTAGGTGACAGAAGTCCCTGAAGACTGATGAAAATACTGACTCACCTTAGGATCTCTCTCGATCTATGCGCGGTCTTATCCTCAAGTCCTAATGACTTATTAAAGTACACTGGCGGATTAAATTGTCCACCCACGGAAGGACTCCAGAGACTTACCCCAAACATCTGTCGGAGGTCGGGGTCCCGGAAGCGGAAGGGAATATTGGAGACGTGCAGCCGTTTAGGGGTGGATTTGCTCTCGGAGTTCTCACTACTTTGTGTCTGTGACTGCTGGCCATCCGTCTGGGCTCCCCCTTCTGTCTGCTAAAGCGAAGAAACAGACAACATGGAGCGAAAAATAAATAGATTACTTCACGAGAATTCTGTAAAATTAAGGCCCCGCCCGACCCCACATGTTCTTAAACAATTCTCAAAGTGTCTTTAAGCAAAAATTAGAGTTGTCCCTTCACAGGGGGAAAAAAAAAAAAACCAAGCATGATACCTCGTTCAAATTGCTATCATTTACAATTCGAGTATTTTTTTTTTAATTTTTATTTATTTATTTGACAGAGATCACAAGCAGGCAGAGAGAGGGGGGAAGCAGGCTCTCCGCTGAGCAGAGAACCCAATTCGGGGCTCGATCCCAGGACCCTGGAACCATGACCCGAGCCGAAGGCAGAGGCTTTAACCCACTGAGCTACCCAGGTGCCCCTCGAGTATTTTGAATATTTACAGAACATTAATAAAATGGGAGAAAAGAGGAATACTAAGTGACCTGCCCAGGACCACGTGGAGCTCCATTAGATATGAAAGATACCAAAACTGAAGACATAAAAATGGTACCATTATTCTTCGATTCTTAGTGCAGTTTTCCACTTCTGAGATCTTTCTATTTTGAAAGTGAAGAGTCTATTGTACGTAGTTGAGGTCACTGCATTTTTGGTCTATCATTTTAGGAAATAAGGGAATATCTGAATGTTTCATTCCCTCTATTAGTTCCAGAGTTTATGACTACGGGGTCACCATAGTATCCCAACATTATTCCTGACGAGGAGACACCTAATGACAATGGGCATTTGGCTTCAACTTGAAGGAGCATCTACTCTGAAACCCATCAGCACTCTCCTCCTAATCCATGTGATTGCACCTGACAAACCCGCCTGACGTCAGCCCAGGGATCCCCAGGCTCCTGCAGCCCAGAGCAAGGCCCCATTTACAAAATCTGCTGGGAGAGGCTTTATGAGTCCAGCATAACCTACTGGACAATGTAAACACTGGGTCTATGTATCCCCACAGTGAAAGGGCACATGTAAGCATGGGTGTACTTTTAATCCTCAATCTCTTTTGCAACATGGCAGGCTTTTTTGCCTCCCGATAAATCCTCAAAACAGTTGCGACAGAGAGAAACACTTTTGACAAACATCCAACAGGTGTGAAACAGTCTAGGTATTCAAAAGTATTCATCTGGCAATTTAGAAACCTTATGTTTTCACTATTCCCTGTGAGGTGCACACCAAACCAGACGGCTCGTGGAGCTGATTAAACCAAGAGTGGAACTCACTGTTCTTAGTATCTCGAGTGAGTTACAACTGAGTCCCTAACGGATTCTTCTGCGTGATGCAGAACAGAGCCCTCCCTTTGACCCAACCTTCAAGTCAAAGAAACTGTGAATCACAGATACTTTTGGCTCAGAGACATTACCAACCATCTCGAAATGGAGTTTGAGACTTTAAAATATAAAGGATAATCAGGAATAAACCCAGAATGAATGCTAGCTTTTCAAGTGTCAATCGAAGTGATGGCAGCTTTTATCTCATTCCATTCAGGCCTTGCAGATGGCTTAAATGTGCAATGATTCATTTGATATAAAAATAGCAGAAAAGGGAAGAGCTATGAAGCAATGTTCTGCGAAAGTGTAAGGTTTTCAATCATCAATCTGGGCACAATGCAGACTAAACAAAACAAGTCCATTCAAAGACGAAACTCACTTAAGTTACTGAAACAGCATCAGGGACACCAAAGCAATAAGCAGTTAAGCATAAGCATCGACTACAACTAATGACCACCCCAGCACCTTCAGACTCGCCTCTTACATTTCACAGCTGGAGCCAAAGTTTAAAACCACCAGATCTGACCTGCAGAATATCAGTGCATCACTCTGATAAAAAGTCACCAGTTTTATATATAATTTACCCATGTAGTTCATATAATGAAGTGGCAGGATAAATGAAAACTGATTATTTCAAAGTATGTTGCCCAACGTACTTGTCACTTCAAGTTTTTACGGCCTTGAAGACGCAATTTAAGCAGGATAGAAGCCAGATTGGATCATTTTCTGCCTTGTAGTGAAAACCTACATTTTAAGTTTTTTTCTTATTTAAGTAATCTCAAAACTGCAGTTTAACATACATAGATAAAAACGCAGAAATCAGAAGCATGAATGAATGTTCACAAAGAAAATATACCCAATCGAACTATCAAATCAGAGAGCAACAGAACCCCAGGAGCACCCTAGTCACTGTCCCCTTGTGAAAGGGTCCCCACTGCCCCAACTTCTAATTCAATAGATTAATTTGGCTGTTCCTGAATTGGAACAAAACAAAACAAAAAAAGAAATAAAAGAAAAAGAAAAGGAATTATACAGTATGTACTCTGTTGTGTTTGTCTTCCTGTATGCATTCTGTCTGTCTAATACACATACCTACATTGTTGTAATTCATCCATTCTTCTTTCATTTTGTAAACATATAGGACTTACTGGAGTTGCTTCCAGTTTTGGGGTATTAAGGATAATGTTCCTGTGAATATTCTTGCTACATTCTCGTCTTTCGGTGCAAATAGCCATTTCCGTCGGGTACACATGCACGTAGGAGTGGATTTGCTGGGTTTAGGACACACACTAAGTTCAGCCTTACCAGATATCACCAGTTTTCCCAGTGGCTGTACTGACTTATTCTCCGCCGTGGATGGCTGTGAGAGTTCTATCTGCTCTCAGTATTGTCATTTTCATTGTAAAAATCCTGGCGGGAGGCAGGGCAGGGGCACCATATTGTGGTTTTAATTTGCCTTCTTCTCTTTAAACCTCAGATCCTTCCTGCTTTCCACTTAGGAGAATTTTGTTGAAAAGCGGGAACTCCCTGTGAAATAGCAACTATTTCTTCAGCCCATACTACATCATAGACCCTCCTGTAAACCTTTTAATAACACTTATACTTTATATAGTGTTTACTATTTGCCGAACACTGGCCTACGCACTTTATGTCTTTTAATTAATATAATTCTTAACAACAAACCCTAAGAGTAGGTACTGTTTCTTTTTTAAACATGAGAATGTAGGAGGTACTATTATTTACCCCACTTTTCAGATAAGGAATCTGAAAACCAGAAAGACTGCCCAAGTTCTGGATCAGGGGTTCAAACACAGGCAGTTTGGCCCCAGAGTATATGGTCTTAACCACTACGTCATGTTGGAATGTATATGCACTTTTATCTTCTCTAATGCTCACAATAATCTACAAGGCAGGCACTATTACTACCCCAATGGACAGAGGCAGAAAGTAAGACACAGAGAGGTGAAGCAGGTGCCCAAGGCCCTATTAAGTGGCAGAGCAGCAACTGAAAACCAGGTGGCTTTCATGTGCCAGCCTCCTGCCCAGCATGGCACCCATGCTTCCTCCTTCTCATTAGAAGGGAGAACGCGTGTGGATTCCACTCTTTCTTAGGACCCTCATGGGACGGAGCAAGACCTCCCCTGGGCTGCAGGCAGGCATGGGGTAAGACAAGGAAAGCTGTCCAAGAATGACATATATTTTGAGGGAAGATTAACAGGTCAGGCCACAAAGGGAGGAAAAACAAGACTAGGAAAACTGGCAAAGGCACACTGGCACTCACAGGAAACAGCCAGACAGCTACTAAACGGATACTCAAAGGGGCTGAGCGGCAGATTTCTGTGCACAGTGGACATAGGAACATGAAATACACATTGGGGGTGCCTGGTGCTCAGTCATTAGGCGTCTGCCTTCGGCTCAGGTCATGATCCTAGGGTCCTGGATGGAGCCCTGCACTGGGCTCTCTGGGGAGCTTCTCCCTCTCCTCCTCGCCTGTGCTCTCTCATATCTCTGTCTCTCTCTCTCTCAAATAAATAAAATCTTAAAAAAAAAAAAAAGGAAATATACACTGAATGTAATTAAACGAGATACTTCCCCATTCGACATCCCCAACTTTAAGTTTGCCTCAATATCAACTACTAATTGTTGAAATACATCAGACAGAAGAAGTAAGGAGAAGTTTTTAGGCTATATCTTTTTTTTTTTAGGCTGTATCTTTGGCAAAGTGGACAGCAGAACTGTTTGTTCTGAGAAAAATCTCAGTGTACACTACTGGTTTGCTTTATTTTCTATTGTTAGCTACTGAGCCACTTTATGGACTGTATAAACAACCTCCCAAGGTTCTGTTCTTCCCTTCTGTGGTCATTTTTTGACCTAATTTATTCGCTGGGCAGGGGATGAAACAGAAGAGGCTGGAGTCTGTGTGCCGCAAGTTTACAGTGAGGGCTGCCCGTGGCACTGCTGATGCAATCTTGGGACTAGTGGCTATGCATCTCTTTAAACAATCTGGCTGCCCCAGTGAGGTCTAGCTATCTGTGCACACCGCAGAGGAGCCTGGAGCTTTTTACAACGAGAAGCAAATAAGATTTATAAGTCTCAAAGCCTCATTCTAGAAATGAAAACTAAAAATGTCTTGGTTTGATGAACTCACACTTTTAAAATTCCTATAACTGTGAAGTGGATTAATTTTCTGACTTCTCTATGAAATAGTGGCAATATTTCCACTATGGACTGTGAAAAGAGTGTTCTGGGCAATATGAGATGAAGTATTACTTTCCAAGTCTCTATCATAGTAACATTTAACACATAATCTGTAATACTAAGGAATCTCTTGATAAATTCAGAAATAATATACTTTGATTTATGGATTTTCTTCAATATTTATTTTCTTCAATATTTATTCCTTTTGTTTTCTGAGATGACTTCATTTCTTATTTTCACCTCTGTGAGGCTGAAGAGGAAGAAGAAGAAATTTCATTCACAGCAAATTTCTTGAGAATCAGATTCATGTCTGAAAACATCTACTAAATTAATCCATGTCAATGATAGTTTGGGTATCTAGGTTGAAATTCTAGGTTAATTCTAGGTTGAGGGGCGCCTGGGTGGCTCAGTGGGTTAAAGCCTCTGCCTTCAGCTCAGGTCATGATCTCAGGGTCCTGGGATCGAGCCCCGCATCGGGCTCTCTGCTCAGCGGGAAGCCTGCTTCCTCTTCTCTCTC